AATCAATGTGGTGGTTGATTACTAATCCTAATCGTACGTTGGAGAGTTATCACTTTCTCGGGAAACAAACAGTGGGGGCTGGCCGCTGGGCTTTACATATACAGAGAGAAAGAGCTTTGCTTTGTTTGTTGCTTGTTGTGGCAGCTGGGCGGTGGTACTAGTACGATCTTTCTCTTTTGGCTGTAAATCGCGACAAAAAAATTGGCAAAAAATGTTGGATTCCCTTCTTCCCTTTTTCCACCATTTCTTTTTTCTGTATTATTACATTATTGCAACGTTTATGCGCATTTTAGCACGGGAGGGAATAATGCCCTAAGATAATAATACAAGGGAGCACTGAGATACGCGAGCATAGCATAAAATATATTTGTATTAGGGATATAGTTAGGTCGACTCTCCATCGGCAAGAGAATTTGGTACCTTTGGAACAATTCGATTTAGTTGCAAGACGCGACGATACCAATTGATGCATTAACGTTTCTAACTTGTAAAGACAGGGCGAGATTGATGAATGATGAGATCGCGGTAGGGGCCACGTCGCAATCAATTATAGATAAATGCATATGGTGAGGTGGCGCGTGGTAATAATAAAAACCCTAGCTAGCTCCAAAGCTTGAGGATGTAGAAGTGAAATGCAGTGAAGAGTTTCTAGTTGGAATTGGTTGGGATAGGTCTTAACTCATTAATGAGGTAAGGTGGATCAATTATAGTACACTCTTAAAGAGTGGTGACAATTTTTTTTATAAGGCATTTTAGGATATCTTCCCCTCGCGTAAGGCTTTGTCGTATTAGATATAAAGTATATTACAATCCAGTCACTTTTCTTTGTAAGTTTATCTGGTTATATCCATCGTTAACTTCCGTACTCTGTAAGAACTCCGAATCATTCTCTTAAACCTCATCCTATTCATCATAAATGATTCGCTTGTCCCGAAATGACCCGGCCCAATAGGCAAAATCCTAATTCATTGGGACTTTCGATACAATCAAATAGATAAACATCATAAAAACGCTTTAGATATTACCAATCGAAGATAGAATTGACATCTCCCTTTTGTATAGTAAACCTTCATTTCATCGTAGTAACTTGATATGTATGTTACCAAATCAGGATTCAACGGAAGTTTGACGTGTCTTATTACTAATATCTCAAAAAAAAATATCAATATAGAGTACAGAAACAAACTTCTACAATACCTCTAACACGAACAAGGAAAATATCCTAAATTCTAGGAGTCTAAGAAAGAGTTCAACTCGGACAAATAATATACTCGACCTCCAATAACGTATACCAAACTTGAGCCTCATTACTAAACTCACAAACCGTAAAAAAGTTTAACCTAATACCATGTCACAAACTAGTTCGTCATAAACCATCTCAACCGTAAATGTGTAAAACTAAACCTAAAGGTGATATGATTCCCTAGCTAGCTATATACAATAATACCGCCACCGGGATCGACCACCGATTTGCTTCCCTTACTTTCCCCTTGCAGAAACCCATGAGAAAAAATAGTGCCTGTCGCCATTGTTGGCAGGGAGATTTGTTTGTTTGCAAGAAATGGAAATCCTGCTGTAAAATCAGTAATGGTATAATGGGAAGAGCTGTAAAACGGTAAAGTGTAAAAAGATCGATCGAGTAGGCAGTCTATACAATAGGAAGAAGACTAGTAGTAGTACTGCTGCTGCTGCTTTTACTTACTGTGCCCATGGTTTCAGGAAGCAGAAGATCGATCCAACCAAAACAGCACCAGCTAAGCTATCTAGGTAAAAGCTATAGATCGGGTGCATTCAATTCGATATTTTTTTGGGGGTTTGAATAAGGGAGACAGCCATGTTTCTACCCAACCTACCAAACCCTAAACCAAGCCAAGTTCATAGTACAGTTGCTTTGAATGAAATGCTGAACAGGTTGGTGGGTAGGGTTTATACCAGCCTTGAAGAGTTGGAGTCTTTGTTTGGTGTCAATTTTCATGGATTTGTGTGGTCAAACAATTTTATATATAGTTTTGGTTCGTAGTTATCAGGTTTAATTAGTTGTACTTGGGCCAAAGGTAAATTAGTCGAGTTGGTCGGGAGTGTGGTCTTTCGGACTTGAAATGTGTGAGGTCTTAGGTTCGAACCCCGCTACACCATTTGGTGTTCCCGGAGGCACTGCGAGTGATGTATCGGGTGCTAGGCCTTGAAAATGATGTTGTTGAGTTTTCGTTAAATAAACGGTCATTCATGAGCTCTAGTGCATTCGAGATTTTTATTCAAAGGAGTTTCAATAAAAAATTTTACATGTGCAGTCTCGTGTATATAAATTGTGAACTTATTCTGAAAGTATATGAATAGTCCAAACTATCACCAAACTATTAAGATTTTACTCTTAATGTATTCTACCAAATAACCATTAAAGATTTCGATACACTTTATGCAAAAAAGGCTTGTCAATAATTTCATTCCATAAAATGTAGTCAATTAATATAAATTACATTGGTGTGAACTATTTTTCTGTTTCTACTATCGTAATCATTAAAAAAATTAATGATATCCTCTAATAATTTGTACCGCTTATCAATCTTGATATACTAGAATATACTGATGTAAAAATTAGTAGTTAAAATTAATTTGTATAATTTTTTGTGGTTAGATGATAGAAGATTTGACGATATGAATTTTTTTGGGTTTAAATGTCTTTATTAACATACTAATAATTTGTATTTGCTTTCCTCCAAATTTAAGAGGGAGCCATGAAACCCCTTTTAATGTTTTAGCTCCTTCCCTATTCATGAGTAGTTTGAGGCTTGAGTGCCTCGATCACACCTTTGGATGGGTAAAAAAAATGTTAATATTGAGCGTCGTCAAAACTTTAGGCAATGGTCACATAGCCTGGTGGTAAGGGAGGAGGACTGGTGACCATAAGGTCCCAGGTTCAATCCTCACCGCCACCATGGTGTTCCCGGAGGCATCCCGCTATCACTCGGACCGTCGGCGGAGGTCCCGGGGTTTAGCCCGACTACGGCACCACAAAAGAATAATAGAGGTCCGAATAAGTTGAATCGTAAATCTTCATCACTTAGTTATGCCTGGAATCAAATTCGAACCATAGAATTATATCGAGAACATGCATCAACGATTGACTTTCAAGATATGCTGCTATCTTATTCATGCCATCAAATGAAGAAATCAATCAGGCGACATTCTAAACGTCACGCACAGTAATTAATTTACAGGTTATCAACCCTGATCGATAAAAAAAAAAACCAACCGGTGCACGCCCATTTCCTTTTGAAATGGGCAAATAACTCCGAAATACTCCATGAAAGTATTAACCCCCCTCGAATACTATTAGCTAGCTCTTCCTCAAAATGATACCACCACAGTATAAGCTTTTGTTGCATGTAACAAGCATATTACTTCTTTTGCACGAAATTTTGGAGGAGGCATATGAAACAAGTGAGAATTGAAAAGAAGGGAAAGGCAGTTTTGAGGAGGAGCATGGCATGTGTGGCAGAATCTTGGCAGTTGGCACTATCCAAAATTGTGTGCCATTATTACTACATGTATTTTTATGTATAATAATACACTATAATTTCTTTCTTCTCCTTTTTTCCATCACACCCACCACCACAATTGATCCATAGGGGTAACAAAATATTGGCTAGTACAGATTTGGGAATATATTGCCTGGTTTTTCTTCGGCCAAACCCTCCTCTTTCTCTTTCCTCTTTTCTTTAAAAAATAGCTTGTTTGCTTGTCGTGGAGTTGAGCTTACTACCCTACAAAATTCTCCTGTCTGGGAAACGCGACAATTCTTCTTCCCTCCGTGAGGTTGCTTTGATTCTCTATGTATGTTATGTTATTAGGGTTGCTAAACTTTTAAGCATTGTTTAGTAAATTTATTCAAAGATAAGTGGAGACCAAAGAGAACACAGTTATGCTATGGTCTACTCAGAGTTCAATACTCCAATAAATATTCAGCTATATGTATTGATGCTTTTTTAACGTAACATAATCTTTTTTCATGCGGATAAAATTCTTAAATGATTGTTCCATAAAGCAACTTTGTCGAGTCTGTGCGAAAATCCTAGTGCAACATCTTCACTTGCTATCACTTGCAAGATTAAAAAAACAAGTTGAATCGAACTTGGAATAAAAAACATATCAATGACGATGCTTTTTATTTATTTACATTATATCTGTGTTGTGAACTATGATGGATATACGTGTATGGCCAGGGTAGGTTAGGGATTTATTAATTGGTTAGTGATTAGGGTTTAGCCGGTAACTTATATAATGTAATTTCGTCATTCAGTTACGTATCAGTCAAGAAATAATCAAAGAATATGTCAACGTATCTCTCATCCCTAATTTCCTCTCTTCTCCCTAATCGGCCACAGGCCACTTCTTACTCTTCTTCCAAGCTCTTCGTCCAATTCTCTTCATATACTGTCACATTAATCTGAGGTTCCAAGACAAATGACATTCATCTAAACAACTAACCTCCCAAAACGCCATTTCTGGTAGAAGCCAATGGCTTCTTCATTCGCAGGTTAGATCTGTTTGTTTTGTTTTCCTGAATGGTGAGAATCGGATTCAGACAAAAGGGAACTGTTGTTTTCATCTGGTTAGGTATTATTTACTATATTACTACTAACTAATGATGCATAATGCCAAGAAGGTAAACCATAGCAATAATACTAGAGAAAGTACTCTCCTTTCTCTTCAAAGTTCAGAGCCCACCGACAGACAGCTAGTCAGTGACGTGGGAACCGCCATTGAAGGGGAATCCAAGGTCCTCACCAGCAATCAGTTGGCATTGAAGGCCAAATCAGTTGAAGCTCAAAACAAAACACAGGTCACAGAATAAGACACGGCACCATACGGAAGAAAGGAAGAAAGAAACAAACAGCCTCACTGAATTCCAATGAGTAAACTCCCAGCCATTTTTACAGAGGTTGAAAAGACAGACTTGCAAAGATTGATAACCTTTCATATTCCAGTATCTGAACTATGTCCATCTGTTAAAAGTTTCACTGAATCTATATTCGTCCTAGTTGACCCGAAACTATAGACCGGATATACTTATTTTGCTCATCGATTCCAATGTCATCCACGTCTTATTCGACTCTAATCTATCAAGACCGTAACGAGAAGTAAAAGATTTTCTAACATACATGACATGTGAGCACGAGTCTAGACCACTGGGTAAATACAGACCAACCCGGTAACAGCGAGACTAAGATGGATAAAAATGAACTTGTTCAACATTATATATAGAGAGTAGAGACATCAAACAAGCAAGTTCAAGAAAAACGAAGGACTAAACTGTCATTACCCGACTATATTATATGAAACCTCCAGCCAACAACACTCTTAACATGTTCTGCTCTTTACATTTATAACTCTTGGAAATGGGTGTCTAAGGATGAAGAGAAATGACACTTCGGCAGGCAGAAATTTGGTTCCAAACTTCATGTGATAAGAGGAATATATGACTGCATACAACGACAGCAGAGGCAGCAGATAACAAAAGAAGAGACAAGCAGGAAACGGACAGAAGGCATGGAAGATTAAACTTGGAGTAGTTCACGTAGCTGAAAACCAATAATCCAAGAGATATACAAATGGATCCATCCACACAACAACAAAAATGCTAGCAAGAAATTTTTTCTGGTTTTGGGTCTTTTTAATACGTACAAGGCATGATCGATAGTTCATGGTGTCGCCACCATGCCATATTGGATGTGTGTGCCGCTGCTGCTGCGACTGGGGAATGTGGGGCGGCCTCAGCCAGATTTGAAGAGCAAGACTGCCTTCTGGTCCAAGTAGAAATACACAAAGTGATTCGTCTCATGGGTCACGTATGAACCTGTAGTATGGAAGGGATAACAAAAAGACAAGAGAGGTGACTGGTGAGCATCAATCCAAGAAATGAAGAGGCATGCGAGCTTACTCCATGGCAACGAAGCAAGGGAAGGTCGGAAGGAACATTGCTATCTTTACTGCAATGCGGGAAAGTGGCGAAACATGTACCTAATGACTTACTCAACACCTAACATGGCATCTTACCAGAGCACTAGAGACATCCTAGTTCAGTAGTTCAAATACAGAAATGGAATGTGTAATTTAAGATCGCGTCACCTAAAACCAAAGCAGCAAAATACAGTAGCTGCTGGTACTGGTTATTGATATAGAGCAGCAGTGGTGCCATAAATTTTGGTCAGTGCATGGTGAGAATTCATTCCAGTTTCCAAAGACGACAAGCACTCACACTCTGACACTGCTGATAAGAAAAAGCGTATTCTAGCCTGATACATATAAAACATAAGCACTTTGGTTGGCGCAGAGCATTTCACACAATGTTCAGTGTTCACACAGAAGCAGATGGTCATACTAATGGAGAAGATAAACCTATAAATAACTTCCTTGGGGGGTACTTATGCAGGGAACAAGGTTCTCTAACATCGTGACAGTTTCAGACAACAAATGTCCCCATTGAGTGCCCCCCAAGATTACATTCACCTGAACTAATTCACCAGTCAATTTAACATAGCTTGTGCAGAGACCAATTCACTATAGCTTGCAGTGGCAAAACTAACTGAGAGGCAGAGCAATGCGACTACTAAAACGAAACAAGTACTCAACCACAACTACTTCAAATACTTGCCACCGAAATAATTTCAGCCAGAGACAGTTTCTGTATTGGTTTGGCATTCTAAATTTAGCTACATTTTAGCATCCTATGCTCCTAGCACCAACTATATCAGGAAGCCACCACTATCAAACTGCTGATTCATTGTCGCCATAAACTGAAAACTAAGAGTTGTTTGGAGTTCAGGGTAAGTTTTCAACATCATTCCAAGAAATGGAAATACAAGTGAATATCACCTATCAGGCGGCTGGATCTACAGGTCTACTGTTTCAACCCCAGGAAGAACCAAAAAAGCACTCGGATGTGACACAAAATCATTGCGCAACATCGATTTACACACAAATCCAGAAGGAGTTACCAAATCTGAAGCATATCTCCAGGCAAACATTAAAGCAAAACGGGAAATCAGATTAGGATTACCGAAATTCCGGCCAACGATACAATGCCAAGTAGGTCCGTGCTTCCGGTCGAATTCCTTCTTTATGTACTCCGCCACGTCCTTCTCCACATTCAGCTTCTCGAACGCCTGATCGGAAAGCGCTCCGAAACAAACAAAAACATGAGCACAAAGTTTAGGGGGAAAAGCAGTCGAAATTGGAAGCAATCAAAGTTGAAAGAGAGGGAGAAAGAGTACTCACGGAGATGGCAATCTCCACAGCCTCCTTCTGCATGTCCTCCTTCATGTCCGCGTTCTTGATGACGATTTTCTTGCCGACGACGGGAGCAGCGGCGGGTTCGACGGGCACGAGTCTCCGATCATCGGAGCCGGACTTCGGTGGTAGATTCCCGGAGATGCTTCGCTTGGCGTCGTCGGAAGTATTCATTTCCTCGTCAATTTGATTTCGCTTCGTTCCTGGTGATGCTTTCGTGCTGTGATTTTTTGGCAGGGAGCAAGAGGGAGAGAGATCTCTCTCTCTCGATTGTGGTGGAGGAAACAAAAGGGGAAAACAGCTTTCTCTACTCCAGTCTGTCCAGTCCACCGTTTTCCCCTTTTCTCACTCTCCCCTTCAAGTCCAACCAATAACTATTGAAAATTGATAATCCTAATTTGCTTTACCAGGAAAAAAAATTAAATTTTAAATTTACCGCTCGTCAACTCTAGGCCCAAGCCCACAGTAACCAAGATGGGCTATGGGCTTCTACTTACTAACTTCCTAGTATATAACAAAGTCTAAGTTACGGTCTTTTCGAAATCCAGGCCCAACTACCCAAGTCCTGGATTTACACCTATTCTAATTTTGATGGCTACGACGGCGACGGAGACACCGCGCCACCGCCGTCCGATCCCTCGCCTCCGCTCTCTCCGCCGTCGTCGGCTTCCTCCTCCGGCTCCGGCTCAACATTCTGCCGCGCGTCGACTATCCTGAAATCCCTCGCGGTGCTGCGCTTGGCATTTTTCAGCAAATTCACCCTGGTCACTTTACTCAGCCTGATGAGGTACCTCTCGTAATCCTCGACCTGGAAGATCAAATCAGGGATGCATTTGTTCTCCCTCTTGATCTTGTTCATCAGGCGGCTGCCTTTCCCCTTGTTGTTGTTGTTGTTGTTGTTGACTCCTTGGGCATTACTTTCCTGCTGCGTATCGGCGACGAAGATGTAGAGCGGAGCCGTGAGCTGCCTGCAGGTGATCTCCACCAGCTTCTGGAAGGCTAGGCTCGGACTGAGCTGCTTGCATCCTTTGGGAGCGATGGCGAGCTTCGTCATCAGGGATAGATGCTTGTAGAGCTTCGTTGTGGTTCGGATCAGGTGCTCCGCTTGAGAATCTTGCAAAACCAAGAAATTACTGGTTCGGTGAGTTCTTTTGAAATCTTGTAATGAGATGACGAAGAGAGGAGAAAAGCTTACTTACCTTTGAGGCGCATAAGAACGAAGGAGGAGAGCACTTTGACTACAGCTTCGGCCTTGGAATGAAGACGGTTTTCGAATGCAGCTCTCGACGAGGAATGTAATTCGTCGTCATCGGTGTCCTTCGCAGCCGGCAAATGAATGCTTTTCTGATCCATGAAAGTCAATGTCTTCAGTTTCTTGACGGCCCAATCCATCTCGGCGATATCCGCCTCGATGGCTTGCAGTATGCAAGCAGTCACGGCGCTGCTCGTTGCGGTGTTCAGTATTGGATACCGGTCGGAAGAAGCTTCGGCTTCTTCCAACTGGCTGTCCTTGTCCAACGGGTTGAACTTCAGTAGCTCCTTCGTCAGGTCTTGTGCGAAGTTGAGATCTTCTGGAGATGAAGTAAGACGAAGGGAGAGCTCGAGTATGGTTCTGGCGACCTTGGGGTTCCTTACGGGTTGAGTTTTGCAGAGAGTGATTGCCCAAGCTCCGTGAGGTTTCCTCCATTGGCATGGCAGTTTGGTTCCGATTATCGAAATCATATCGCACACGATCTGCAGAAGTTACTGTACTATTAGACAATCTGATAACAAACAGATTCTTTGAATAGCATCTCTAGAGCACATAATTGGCGACATCCATGTATTAGAAATGGAGAAAGAGGCATCAACCGGAACTGTATGGCTTAAGTAAAGCACTTACCTCGACCTCCCGAAAAGCAGACACACCAAGGAGCTGAGAAAGTAGCGGCCTGCAGACTTTGATGATGAACATTGTCTGGTTTCTTACATCTTCATCGCTGATCCTGGAGGCTTCGGTGTTATCATTTTCTAACTGTGAGCCATCGTCGGAATGGCAGACTGATAACAGTTGATCCAGTAAGCCAGTGAGATCCTTCTTCTTCAGAGCAATCAAAATCAGCTCTTTCAAGCATGACAAGGCCAAATAAAGATTCTCCTTCTTCTCTTCCGAATCCTTTTTCCCCTTTTCCCGCTTCAGCAATAGGGTTAGTTCAAGCAGAGGACGCCCAAACCGCTTGACATCTCCGTAAACGAAAACCGCCAATGGATCTTCCTTACCTTCAGCATGGTAAGAGTAAGACTTCAAGTGATGAAGACAGCTGTTCAAGACGAAAGCTATGATCTTGGAGCTCTTCAATGGATGCTTCTGAGAAGCCAGCTGGCTACCGCTGGTGTAAAGGCTCGCTGCCTTTTGGGTCAGTGTCAAGAGATTGGAAGTTGAGAAGGGAATCAGTTCTCGGCTTGCTGAATCAACCTTCGCTGAAGTATCAGTAGCAGTGCTTTTTACATTCCCTCTTCTGCCGCCAGTTTGCTTTGGAGATGCATCCTTCTCAAGCGGCTCGAGGAGATCGACGAATTCGGAGAGCTCTTTTTCTAGATCCGTTGCCTTTGAATTGGGTGCTTTCTCCAGCTCAGCAGCAATGGAGTTCAGTAGTACCTTAATGATCCCTGATAGAACCAAAGCCAAGCATCTGTTCTTTTCTTCTTCAGGGGAAGTAAAGCTGCTGCCATCCTGATTCTGAACGAGTATGCCTTTACATAAAATGCGAAGGGAATGAGTAGAAGCGGGTGGAAGTTTGTTGATAACGTGGATGTTAACTTGTACAAAGAAGGACAATCTTTACTAACCTTCCAGCTTTCCCTTTCTCACGAACTTCCGAATCTTTGTCAGGGCATCAGAGAATGACTCACTGGACTGATTTCTTCGTGCCTGCCATGGAAGTTATATTTATTCACGTGAACTGAAGATAGAAGAGGATGAAGAACCCTTGTTAATTACGCTACCTCATCATCTTGGGAAAGGGAGAAACCAAAACATGGCAACGACGAATCTAGAGGATCTGGTTTACCATGTGGTTGGAGTAGCAAAATCCACGAAACACAAGATAGAAGACAATCTAGTGGCTCTTCAACTAAAACTTTGCCACGTTCTGATTTAACGGAAGAGCTAATTCCAGCTACAACATCAGTATCCTGATCACATTGTTCATATGTTAGAGCAGAAATTAAATAGTATGGCTACTAGATACGCTGAAAGAGGTCTTACCTCCTTGAAGAACCGCAGGAAGTGAGGCAAAAGAAAATCAAGCACGAGTTTCCCACTGGCAGGGTCTACTAGGACAAGCTTCAGAAGACCAGAATAGATGACCTCCCTTACTTTTGCCTAGAGGAAAAACGTAACTCCGTTTAGGAACTACTGAAGCCAACTCAAAGAGCAGTATCATAAATTCATAACAAGAAAGACGTAAGGGAGCAACCTGTTGACAAAGGCATCTGCGCAGCAAACCACTTAGCTCATGAAAGAGAGCTCCTCCGTTGATGCCACATGGCAGCATGCCATTTTGCTGGCTGCTACTTGCCTGGCTTGACGAGTCTTGAAAGGCCAACAACCCGTCTCTAGTGGATTGTCTTTCCACTAGAATAAGACGGAAAATGGCGTTAGTTGCAGCAAGACGGACCGCATCTTCCCGGCTAAATATAGCCTTGCGCAATACCAAGATCATATAATCCTGAAACGAATAGCATGATGCTCTTGAGAGATTTGAACTTAACCGGGATAAAATTTATGACCCGTTTGCTTAATCAATGGAGATAAAAAGTTCAAACATTACCCGAAGATGGCGACTATGTTTGGCTAGCGGCACTATAGCAGCAACCAGAAGAGTGGCGACCTTGTTGGGCATATGAGTGAAGTAGTCCAACAGTTCCTTCAAGCGAGGAACATGGTCCGACATTGGGAGAGGAAATGCTTGGACTAGCTGGCCTAGCAGTCTGCACGCCAAAACTAAATCCCACAATTACAGCAATGTACAAAACTGCACAAGAGTTCTAGCATGTCAATCGCTTGTGGTTTACCTTGTGATTGGAATGCTCCGCTCTGGCTTCAGACACAGAATGCGAAATTTGCACTGATCTATTATCTGGAATATTACCAGAAATCGTATTACTTTCTACAATTCTGAATCAGTTTGCTCAATGTGAAACACCACACTGCAGTTCACAGCTTAACCCACCTCATTTCTTGCCATATCATGAACCTCAAAAAGAGTCATGAGCATCCGAATACTGAGCTCCTTGATGCCAAGCAGGCCATCAGAATCAGATGGATCTCCGAAACTACCTTCTTCAGATGACTCCAACAGTACAAAGCTGAACTGCACCATAGTAGGCAAAATATGTTCCCTTCCACAGGTGCTCTCATTAACCTAAAGCAATTAATGTCAGTTATATGCCCATGCTCATTCAAAACATACCCAGATCGAAATTTAGGAACAGGATACTCACCGCTCTTAGAACAGCCTTCTCCAGTGTCTGAACGTTCTGCAGATAGTCTTCTTTTAGCTCCTGTGTTAGCCACTTACAGTCACTGAAAGAGGCAAAGTGAAAGAAAAAATTGTCATGTGGAAGTCTGGATAGGAAGACTGCACAAAGACATCAACAGAAGCATAGTTGCTTACTTAGCAAACTTGTAATCGCGGTAAGCATTAAGCAGCCCCATTTTGAGTGCCCCAATCGAGTTTTCGCTGAACCTTCTAACCCTCGCAACAGAGAGCAAAACAGCAACGGTGAAATGATTAAAAGCCCTCAAGTCCAACTTCACAAGCCTAATAATCTCCTGAACGAGAGAAGGATCCTGCTTCACAGCGAAATTGACATGAAGCAGCACAGTTCCCTCCACTTGCCTAACAGTGGAACTCACTTTCCTCGACCGTTTTTCATCCCCAAAATACTTCACAATCCCTTCAAGCACCTCTCTCTTGTTGAATCCTTTGGAAGCCAAAACCAACAACTGATACACAAGTGTCGGCAAATCCTGCAAATCTATCATGGGCATTCCATCGAACACCTTCTGTACAAACTCTATCCCTCTCCCCTTGTCAAAAATACCTAGAAATTCCTTAACAACAGAAACCAGCTTAATAAGCAGCGGTTTCGACCATTCGCTCACCATAACCTTATCCAGCATCGAATCCACGAACTCCTTACGGTTTTCCTGGAAAATCAAATTACAACAGCCAGGAAGAAAGTCGAGAATCTGCGCGTCTTCCAAACTCTCGATCCCAAACAAGTCGTCCACAATCGACTCCACCACCGACTGAAGATCATCGATGACGATATTGTGCAGGAGAGTAGTGAAGAGACCAATAGTTTTCGAGGAATTCGAATCGTGAGGGATCTGGCGGGAGAGGAACAACCGGGTGTAGGAAGAGAGCAGGGCGGAGAGAAGAGACGGTAGCGAGGGAGTATCCGGCGAGAGGGAAATGAGAGAGAGAAGAGAGAGTACGTATTCGGACACCGCCGGCGACGGCGAAGGAGAGAGCGAGCGAGCTTGGAGGTGGGCGAGGAGAGCCGAGTGAGAGGAGGCGGTAAGCAAGTAAGGATGGAGTTCACCTCGTTGGGCGAGCTGCACGATCTCGATGTCGGTTAGCGGATGAGGTTCTCCGTCGCTCGATAGGCTGGTCGTCGCGTCGGAGGCGGCTGCTACGGCGGCGGCCATGGCGGGAGACGGTGGCTTGGGATGGTCGGTTATTCAATCTTTCGACTTGTTTGGATGATTCTTCTGGAAGATAGGTTGAGAATTCGTTTTGCGCGGGAGATTCAGCGGCCGCAAACTTTGGGTTTATGTGGAAGTGAGACGTCGCGGAGAAGTTTGACAGGAACTGGAAGTGGAAAGTGAAGACTTCCAACTTAACCAACTTGGGCCGGGCTTGATGAAAGATACCTGTAATAGCTTATTCACAACTGAGCCCAGCCCGAAAAGAATTATTAATAGTAGACAATTTTGTTATTACTTTTTTGTGAAGAAATTATTAATTGCGTAAATAACATTAGTAATGTTTATGGAGAGAACAATTAATTGTATACAACAGTGTTTTGAAATATTTGAAAAATGATTATTAACAATATAAAATTTTGCTGTTAGTTTTTGTGAAAGAAATTATTGATGATATATAATAGCACTACAAAACATTTTGCAATGATTATTAATTATATTTTTTTTTTGTTGACCCCAAATCTCCAATACAATTTTTTTATTGACATTAGTGAAAATAATTATTACTAGTGTACGATAGTGTTATATTAACATTTTTAAATGAATTCGTAATAACAAATGTTTTTTTTTTTGGTGGAACGTAATAACAAATGCTAGTTACTTTATGAAAGTAATTATGAAAAAAAAAAGACTAGGCCATCCCACTTATTAAAAAAAATAGCGTGACCATGACGTCACCCGTTATCGGAAACTAGACAGCAACATAGAAATGCGTGTAATCGGCGAAATCACTCTTCTTCTTCCTTCCCCTTCTCGGAATCTTGCCCATGTTTTGTTTGAACGGCACTGGGAAATTAAATTAGTAGTTTTCTCCATTCAAGTTGGCAGTATAGTCTGTCATTTTCTTTTTTAGAATTCAACAGAATAACCTTCACCGTTTACCCCGTATAACGACATACACTGATTTTTACATTATTGTGGTCGTGATTTACATTATTGTGTTCGTGGTGGTGGCGGGATATGGATAGCTAGCCCGTTTCTTCTTCCTTTTTTCTCATTTTTTCCCCCTCCTCATTCCCCGCTTGGACTGCCACGGAGGTTTATAACTTCGAGGAGATAGACAATGATGTCAAACAGGGATGAGCGACGCAGCAGCAGCAGCGCGTGTAGCAAACCCTCCGATGTAAAGCTACCAAGCCTTCGGTTATTTGTATGGCTAAATCATATACTAGGGTAAATGTCACATTTGGTCACTGAGATTACTAAATCGTGTCATGTTTAGTCACTAAAAAAATTTAATATCAATTTTGGTCACTCGAATTACTGAAACAGATCACATTTAGTCACTCTCTCGTTGGTTTCCGTCCAACTCCATTAATGAAGTTGGAGGAAACTAACGGGAGAGTGACTAAATGTGGCTTGTTTCAGTAATCCGAGTGACCAAAATTGATATTAAATTTTGCTAATGACTAAACATGATACGATTTAGTAATTTCAGTGATCAAATGTGGCATTTACCCCTCTATTTTAGAGAGTGTTAACCGCGGGTCCTCCTTTCCTGTTTTGTATTTCCTTGCTGTAATTCTCTGCTTTTGCTTTGTTTTGAAAACCAATAATATATTTCACCATTATAAAAAAAAAATTGGTATTTACCCTCATATACTATAGCGTCTAAACCTGACCAAAATTTAACCTTTTCAGCTAAATTTTGTAGGCTTCAACATGGTTCATATTCTTAGTAGAGTATCCTCCTCTTTCATTAACAAAACTACTACTATCGATATTTACGGACAAACAACATATACTTTAGTAAAAAAGGTTGGGACTTAACACCTTATAAGTCAAAATGAGGAGCATAACATGACTATTTAGTATTTATTGATTAGTGGAATCTCTTGTTTTATACTATTTACATTATAACTAATATACGAGACATTATAGTAATGATCTCAAATTACTATACATGGTATTTAGAAGGAGCGAGTCAAGAATGAAGAGTCATGATGGGACGTGGTGCGAAGACCCTCGATACAAACTCGCACGCCGTAAAAACAAGTAAGGATATGTCAGATTGAAGGACCGAGCTCATGTTATATTATCATCCCTAATTTTCAAGACAAGAAAATGTGATTATGATGACTCCAACACAAGAAACGTTAATCCAAGTATCAAACACAAACATGTTGAGGAAGATGATCTCTTTCTAGAGACTCGGAATTGGACTTTAAAATACACTCCATCAAATTACATTCACTTATCAATAAAAATACATAGCATTCCGAATTTGTTACAGACGAATACATTATCCGTTTTGAGCCCATACTCGCACGGTTGCATATCAAGGTTACTTATCATAATTTCACCCCCATCTTTGAGGTGTTACACAGTGAGCACGTTTAACTTCGGAGTTCTCACAATAACTCTTCCATTTCACAACAAAACGCTTCTTGTAGATCGCTCTCGTGTGTTTGTCTACGTTGGAATCGCTTAAGGTGTTACATACATCCCCCTTTAGGGACTCAACGTCACCGTTGAGGTTTGCCCCACCATTGTTCAAGAATGACACGGAGAGGTTTTAATACTACTTGTAACATCCTGAATCTTTTTCCGTTAAACATATTGTCCGTTTTGGACTGATACTAACATAATTTTTTGGACCTTGAGATGCAATCCAATACAAAATCAACGAGGATTTAAACCCAAAGTGAGACAATATCTTTTCGTAAAAAAGTTTGGAATGTAACTGGATATTCAAACCTGAAATCTAATAAAATCAAGTACCATTAACAATCCCATTCTAAGCTGCAAATCCTAGATGGGAATATCCCACACACAAACGGGAACAATCTCCACAGATCCGCGATCAGATGCACGCTCCGTCGTCAGCGCGTCACTTCGGATAGGTACCACCCATAAAATCTACATCCAGCTAGGCGCTATAAATGCGTGTGATCATCCCCGTCCCGTTTTCAATTCTCCCATTTCATTACACAACAGAAGCGACTTCCAGGCGTCACTCATTCCCGCTACACACGAAACCTCTGGCCCCCGCAACCGCAGTAGTTGGGCGGAGCTTTTCCTGCGTCTTCACTCTTCCGCCAACCGGAAAACTCTAAATCGCAGCCGAAGGAAAAGCGACGGTGAAGGAAAAAAACATGGCGAAAGGAACGACGACGATTGATGTCGGAGCGGACGGAGTTGCTCTCATCACCATCATCAATCCTCCCGTCAATTCCCTCTCCTTCGACGGTAATCCTTCCGCCTCCGCTCTGATCCAGATCTCACCGTTTCGCCGTACACGGCCTTTCCATTTCCCGCTCTCCGTTTTCGCGTCGGTTTCGCTGCGTAATTTCATTTCCCCGGCGGAGATTCCGTTGTTCCTCATGCTTTCCGCACTTCGGTGTTGCAATACGTTTACTGTCAGTTATGCGAAGTTTTGTTATCGTCTTCATTTGAGAATTTCTAAGCTCAATTTTTTTAACTCTGTTTGGTTCGCTTGGGTGGCGGTGAGGTTTGATTGAATAAGATAAGGATTTATGGTCGAAGATTTTGTTCTTGAGAGATTTGGACAGTTAGAATTGAATTAATGAAGCGATTTGAGCAGGAACCTTACTTGTAATTGATCGCTGCTATCGGAATTTATCTGTCAGCAACGTCGAGGATCTATGCAGACATGTGGAGTGTGATGCCAGTTTACTGATTTGTGTGAACTTGTTGTTCTCTATTCTCTTTGCAGTGTTGTACAGCTTGAAAGAAAGCTATGATCAGGCATTACGCAGAGATGATGTCAAGGCAATTGTTGTTACCGGTAAGTTTAGTTGCTTAGAATTGGTGACTTGGAATCTAGTTGATGACGATTGTGGTGTGAAGCTGATGTACCCTTGTAAATTGATTAGGTGCAAAGGGAAAGTTCTCTGGTGGATTTGACATCAGTGCTTTTGGCGGAGTTCAGACCGGAAAGGGTATGCTTTTTATTTCTGTGCACATGTTATACCCACTTGTAATGAATCGGCTAAAATCTGAATTGCGTCTTCTGTTTTCTCAGTGGATCAACCAAAGCCTGGTTACATATCAATTGACGTACTTACAGATACTGTTGAAGGTATTGGTTTATTTCCCCCCTGGTTTCTCCAATTTTGAAAAAGATAGTGTATATTAGGCATTGAACTGATAGCAGTCAGCTAATTGACTGGCATATGTGCTATTTCTAGCTGCAAGAAAGCCTTCTGTTGCTGCAATTGATGGCCTTGCCTTGGGCGGTGGACTGGAAGTTGCAATGGTAAGACCCTTGGTATTTGTTCTAGGCTCACTAAACTTTATTTACTTGCAAAAAAATGACCCCGAACATTTGCTATCACAGGCTTGCCATGCTCGAATCTCAACCCCTACTGCACAATTGGGCTTGCCTGAACTTCAACTTGGAATTATTCCTGGATTTGGAGGTACGGCATGGTTTTCGTTACGTTGATTTTGTTTGGGGGTTTGCATTTTGATTCATGCTGAAATTTTATTTCTTTGCCTCCAATCTTGTAATTCTATTGTATCAGGAACACAGAGACTTCCACGTCTTGTTGGGATCTCAAAAGCCCTTGAAATGATGCTGGTATGTGTCTTATAGTGGATTTTCCCTAGGTGCTAGTAAGTTTTAAGTGGGATCTGTCAAACGACTATAGACTTATGCTTTGTCCGTTTGCATATGATGTATCAATAGACGTCGAAACCAGTGAAAGGAACTGAAGCTCATGGTTTGGGCCTTGTGGATAGTCTAGTTTCTCCTAATGAGTTGGTTTCCTCTGCACGCCGCTGGGCCCTAGACATGGTGGAGGGCAAAAGACCATGGGTTGCTAGCCTTTACAAGACCGATAAGTTGGACTCATTTGGAGAGGCAAGGGAGATTTTCAAATTTGGAAGAGCACAAGTGCGGAGACAAGCTCCCAACCTTCAACATCCTTTAGTTTGCATTGATGTTGTGGAAACAGGCATAATTTCTGGTCCCAGAGCTGGTTTGTGGAAGGTGATTATCTGTCTCGTCTTCTGGGGCACTTCTCTTCTAATTACAACATATGTGCAACCCCTCACATTGTTAGTGATGTTGGCAGGAGTTTGAATCTTTCCAAGAACTCGTCCGTTCTGACACCTGCAAGAGTCTGGTTCACATATTCTTTGCTCAGCGTGGAACTACTAAGGTTGGTCTCATTGAGCTTCCTTGAAGTTGCCCTTCAATTTGTAGAAGGTTTATTGTAAATTTAGCTTTAATAAGCCTTTTAACTGATCTGATCCTCCATTGACGCGGAACAGGTTCCTGCAGTCACAGACCTGGGATTGAAGCCCAGACGAGTGAATAAGGTTGCCGTTATTGGTGGAGGACTGATGGGTTCTGGAATAGCTACTGCATTAGTCCTAAGTAATTATCCTGTTATTTTAAAAGAAATCAACGAGAAGTTCTTGCAGGCTGGGCTGGATAGAGTCAAAGGTGAGGCCCAGCCAATCTGAATACTTAATGTTGAATTATGTTAACAAAGTTATGATTGTAGAATGAACGTTGTCTCTTGTTTAGCCAATTTGCAGAGCCGAGTGAAGAAAGGAAAGATGACTCAGGAAAAGTTTGAGAAAACTTTTTCTCTTCTTAAGGGTGCTCTTGATTATGAAAGCTTTAGAGATGTGGACATGGTCATAGAGGTACTTTTATACACATGTTAATTATGATTGAATACAAAGCTGTTACTCACTGGAGACTGACTTCATAACCTTGACCTTGATGCTTGTTCAGGCTGTAATTGAAAACGTCTCATTGAAGCAACAAATCTTTGCGGACCTCGAGAAGTACTGCCCACCGCATTGCATACTTGCAAGCAACACTTCCACAATTGACTTGAACTTGGTAGGCAGCAAGACAAGGTCTCATGATAGGATCATCGGAGCCCATTTCTTTAGGTAAACTTCCCCTTTTGTAGTTTCATTTTTGTGGCAGCCGTTTGATTTAGGAATATCTCCACTAAATGATTTTTGCTTCTTATGCAGTCCGGCTCATATCATGCCACTCCTGGAAATTGTTCGCACCAACAAGACTTCTCCTCAAGTTATTGTCGATCTACTAGATGTCGGTAAAAAGATCAGGAAGACTCCAGTTGTTGTTGGGAACTGTACTGGGTTTGCAGTCAACAGAATGTTCTTCCCTTACACACAAGCTGCTCTTTTACTTGTGGAGCATGGAACTGATCTTTATCTCATCGATAAGGCTGTTACCAAATTCGGAATGCCAATGGGCCCTTTCCGGTATGTAGTGCTTGCATGTATGACAGTGTGAGTATATCTATCGATAATTTCCAGGAGCAGATCTTGATGTCTCATTTGAATGCAGGTTGGTTGACTTGGTTGGTTTTGGTGTGGGAGTTGCCACTGCAATGCAGTTTATCGAGAATTTCCCAGAGCGAACCTACAAGTCTATGGTTATTCCTCTAATGCAAGAGGATAAGAGAGCAGGTATGTTGTTTCTCTTTCTCTTCTCATAATTACATGATTCTCAAGCTGCCAAGCCACATTACGAAAATGCTGACGGTCTTAATATGTGATTTGCGTAGGTGAAACTACTCGCAAAGGATTCTACCTCTACGATGACAAACGCAAAGCACGTCCAGATCCTGAGGTGAAGAAATATATTGAGAAGGCACGAAGCATTTCTGGCGTTTCAGTGGATCCCAAGGTACGTCATAGGTGGCGTGGACTTTCTGGTTCTCTTACTATTGGTTGTTTGACAATCATATCCTCCTCTGTTTCTCATTTCTTCTCGACTCAACACTTCCAACAGTTAGCTAAATTATCGGAGAAGGACATAATCGAAATGATATTCCTCCCCGTGGTCAACGAGGCCTGCAGAGTTTTCGCCGAGGGCATTGCAGTTAAAGCTGCAGACCTCGACATATCATCTGTCATGGGAATGGGTTTCCCTCCTTACAGGTCTACAAACCTCTTCAACCCATTTTTCAATAACCCACCGTTCCCATAATCTCGGCTTTGTTAAATCAACTTTGGTGTTACTGTCATCAGGGGAGGCATTATGTTCTGGGCGGATTCACTAGGATCGAAGTACATCTACACGAGATTGGAGGAATGGTCCAAGACTTTCGGCGGCTTCTTCAAGCCCTGTGCTTTCTTGGCTGAGCGAGCTGCCGCGGGTGCTCCTCTGGTAAGCTATCTCAACCTTCAGCATATCGCCTCTGCTTAAGCTCACCATAATCTTCAATGCGCGCCCTTAGCTATCTCAACCTTCTGCGTATTGCCTCGCTCACCATAATCTTTAACGCACGCTCTTTCGTTTGCAGAGTGCTCCAGTGGAGCAAGCGAAATCGCGGATGTAGGACTCTCGGTCTCGAGCACGATGAAATACGAATCACCCGTGAGTGTGGAGAAATTTTCCAAAGAAATTATCTCCTCTTTGTCTTACCAGCAGAATAATGTCTCGATGACAGAGAACTGGGGAGAAAGAAACATATTTTAAGAAACGAGAACTAGTAGAATAATACTTCTTGTTTAGAATTAGTCAAAATCTGGATGTGATTTTATGGCATCTATTTCCAGAGCTGTTCTTCTTCTGCGTCAGCCTGGAGGCTCATATTATATGAACCACAGTATTTCCAGACCTGAGCAATGCTTTTTTTTTTTTTTTTTGCTTAGCGGGGAAACAATTTACTGCTACAAGACAGCAAATTTTAATATTTTCAAGGTACTGATTTCAAAGTTCAAACTAAACAGTTTAGGCTCGTCATTTAGTATAAACTGTATAATTGTAAGGGTAAATGACACATTTGGTCACTGAGATTATTAAATTGTATCATGTTTAGTCACTAGAAAAAATTAATATCAATTTTGGTCACTCAAATTACCGAAACTGGTTAAATTTAGTCACTCTTCAGTCGGTTTCCGTTCAACTCCATTAATGTAGTTGGACGGAAACTTTTGGGAGAGTGACTAAATATGACATGTTTCAGTAATACGAGTGACTAAATGTGACATTTTTCAATAATTCGAGTGACCGGAGTTGAACAGAGGCGACAGAACAGTGACCAAATGTGACCTGTGTCAGTAATTCGAGTGACCAAAATTGATATTAAATTTTTCTAGTGACTAAATATGACACGATTTAGTAATCTCAGTGACCAAATGTGTCATTTACCCGTATAATTGTATTCTAATCTCGATTATTGGACTTACATTGCCTGGTGGGCCTAGTGTACACGCGGCCTCTGTCGAACGGCCCTACTGGTAGGATTGGGCCCGGAAAGGGAGGGGACAGGGGCCCGATAGTTATGTGGCCCAAGAGCTTAGCCGACAAGCAACCAGAAGGGCCCAGCTACATCGCTAGCGTGACTTCTGAGCCTTGTATGTGAAGCTAATAGGCGCTACTACAGTGTCACACTGGTGTCATCATTGGAAGAACGCATCCAGACAACGAGAGGTTGGTTGTCAATCGTTCGTTATCAAACTCTGTCACGAGTTCTACTTGGCCTGTATTCAGATTTTAGTTAAATACTTAATACACAACGGGACATGGTTCAATAATGTCCGGTGAGAGAGAGGCGACTGTTGTGAGCAAGACAGCAAGCCAGCCATTAATCACAGAATTTGAAGGAGAAAACGTGGGATACAAGGTTCTACAGAGGGAAAGAAATCGTGGAGTTGGTGGATGATTTGATTCGGCAAAGATACACACATCAGCAAAGATCCACGAAGCTCTTAAGGAAAGAATTTCAAGCAGCCTCTCTATGACTCTAACGGCTAGCTGTGAAGAAGTATAAAAGGATCAGAGTCAAGTAATTGAAGGTGCTTTTCGGGAAGATCTCGTTCAAGAGTACACAGTGAGGTGTAAGCAACGAGAGATAGGAAGAGCGGCTCTAAAACACAAGATCAGGATTGATAGTGATTTAGAGGTTGAGAAAAGTAGCTGGATAGCTGTGGGGAAAGACTTACTGGGATAAAAGGGTTATCTTGCCTGTAAGGGTTGGGTAGCTAAGCATAAGAGTGTATCTCTAAATCGAAGCAACAAACGCATCATACTTAGTGGATTGGCGAGAATCACACATCAGTGATATCTCGTCCGTGGATTAGTCAGAGTTGGGGATCATTTTACCCAGCTCTGGATACCACGTAAAAACGGGTTGTTGTCTTTGTTCATTCTTGTTACCTGTTTCTGTGATAGTCTTTGTTTGCAGGTCTCAGTGTTGCCAGAGAAACAGGGGACGTGAATCCATTTGGTTCCAAGTGAACAACACAAAAGTTGTTGTTAAAACGCACAGTTTTAACTTAAAGGTGGAGTTGAGCACTACTGCCGTGATAAGAGGCCTGAACTTCAGTGGGCCTAACTTAACTCAAGCCCAGGGTTCAAAGTTCATGTCGTTTTAGTATTTGGTTGATCTGAATTTCATTTCTTCAGTTCACTGGAGTTTTACCTTCACTGATCAAAGTCGAGAGTCGGGCTAGGGTTTGCAGGGAATTCCAATCGACGAAAAGTAGGAGGCATCTCGCGCTCGACGCCATTAGCAAGTGGTATCAGAGCACGGTCGTCAATCTAGGAGGGTTAGCATCCCTTGGCGAGATCCAGGATGGCGTCAGGATCCTCAAGCAATGCTCCACTGTACCTCGCAGATGGATTTTCGCAGAATCGACCTCCTCGCTTTGAAGGGGTGAATTATGGTTATTGGAAGAATCGCATGGAACTGTTTGTTGGGTCAACCGATCCCAAGCTGTGGGCGAGAGTTGTCAAAGGACCATACGAGCTGAAGGCAGATCAAGAGAAGTGGACCGATGAAGATTATGAAAAGTTTCAGCAAAACTGCAAAGCTACAAACTTGATGTATTGTGCTTTAGGACCAGAGGAGTACCACAAGGTGGCAGGATGCAAGACAGCAAAGGAAATCTGGGATAAGCTCCAGGTAACTTACGAAGGCACTTCTCAAGTCAAGACTTCTAGAATCAACTCGCTTAAACATCAATTCGAGCTTTTCAAGATGGAGGAAGGTGAAACTATTCGTCAAATGTATGAAAGGTTCACCAACATAGTGAACAGCCTCGAGAACTTAGGCAAATCATACGAAAGTGGAGATTTGATAAGGAAAATTCTGTGGAGCCTGCCTGATAAGTGGACACCAAAGGTGACTGCAATTGAGGAGGCAAAAGATCTTGAGAAACTGCCTATAGATGAGCTGATCGGATCACTGACCACCCATGAGGATAAACTGATGAAAGGAGGAATCGAGAAGGAGAATAGTGACAAAGGAAAAAGAGGGATTGCTTTCAAGGCTACGAGTTTGTCGGATGATGCAGAGGAACTAGAAGACATGGAAGATGAGGAGCTTGCTTTGCTCAGTAAACAGATAAGTCGGCTTCTGAGGTTTCGTAAAGAGAAAAAATTGGGAGGATCGAAGTTGCGGGATATTGACAGAAATGAAAGTACAACTAAGATTGGGCAAGCTCGGACAGTTCAGAAAATTAGAAACGAAGGAGGTACGAAGGGAATTGGGTCTACTGGCTGCTTCAAGTGTGGGAGATCTGGACACATCAAAGCGGAATGTCCGTTTCTTAAGCGTGAAAAGGCTTATGCTGCAACATGGAGTGGAAGTGAAGAAGAAGGAGATGAGGATGATGAAGTTACAGTACACCGATCTTATATGGCTGTTGCAGAGGAGACAGAGGAGGAAGAAGTCATGTCTCAACCTCAACTGAATCCACAGGTAAGTATCTCCAACTCGTTAGAATTAGTAGATTCTGACTGTGAATGTGATGATGATCTGTTGGTTAACACTATTAGAGAAATTCAATTGGAATTTGAAAATGTCAAATCAAAGTACACTAAGTTGAAAAGAGAAAATGAACTAAACCTGAAGAAAATTGAAGATCTAGAACAAAAGTTGGAACTAAGTGAAGTTAATAATAGGGAAATCATGTGTGATTTAAGAAAAACTGAAAATGAGAACCATCAACTTCAGGAGGAATACTTGAAACTGAAAGAACAAGTGAAACTTAGTGCAAATCATAAGAAAGGACAAACTCGATATGAAAGTCTGAAAAATACAGAATGTTTTTACTGTCACAGAATTGGACATCTGATCAAAGAATGTAAATACCGGTTAAAATCAGAAGCTAAGAAACAGTTTATGACTAACAGGAATGTGAACTTATGGAATAGACAATTATCACAAAGACCCAAGAAAATCTGGGTCAGAAAAACAACTTGACTTATGTGTATGCAGAGATGTCTTCAAGTGAGCATGGAGACCTCTGAGTGGATTATGGATAGTGGTTGCTCACATCATATGACAGGTAATGAGATGTTATTTTCAAAACTGGAATTAGGAAAATATGGTAAGGTTTTCTTTGGGGATAACAATTCAGCTGAGATAATTGGAAAAGGTCAAGTAGGGTCGTGTCCTTCTATAAGAAATGTCATGCTAGTCAAAGGTCTAAAACACAATCTCATGTCAATAAGCCAGATGTGTGGGAAAGAATGCAGGGTCATTTTTGAACCTAACTGCTGTTATGTGGAAAACATTAAGTCTAAACAGATTCTGTTCACAGGAAAGAGAAATGGTAAAATTTACTCAATAGATCTAAATGATAAAGAATGTTTCAATGAGACATGTCTAATTAGTCTAGATAAAAATTTGCAAGAAGATTGGCACAGGCGTCTTGGCCATGTAAATGTGAACACTTTATCTAAACTAGCTCGACTAGGATTGGTTAGGGGTTTACCTAGGATGAATGAAAAACGTGAATTCTTCTGTGATGCATGTGCTAAAGGGAAGCAAACTAGAACCAGTTTTAAGAGTAAACCAGTCATATCTTCATCCAGACCTCTAGAGCTTCTGCATTTAGATTTGTTTGGTCCCTCAAATGTAACCAGCTATGGGGGAAAGTCATATGCCTTTGTGGTAGTGGATGACTATTCTAGGTTCACATGGGTTCTCTTTCTGGCCAAGAAGGATGAGGCTTTTGAACAGTTTAAAACCTTAACCAAACGTTTAGAAAATGAAAAAGTGTCTAAAATTGGCAGCATTCAAAGTGATCACGGGGGAGAATTCTCCTCTGAGTCTTTTGAACTTTTCTGTAATGAATTGGGAATTTTTCACAACTTCTCTGCTCCCAGAACTCCTCAGCAAAATGGAGTAGTTGAAAGAAAAAACAGAACATTAATAGATATAGCTCGTACAATGCTACATGATTATGGTTTACCTAAATACTTTTGGGCAGAGGCAATAAACACTGCATGTTATGTGGTTAATAGAGCCTTAATCAGGTCAGGGCTAAACAAAACTCCTTATGAGTTGTGGAAGGGGAGGAAACCAAACTTAGGATACTTTAGAACCTTTGGATGCAAGTGCTTTGCATTAAATACTAAGGATAACTTGGAAAAATTCGATGCAAGGTCTGATGAAGCTGTGTTTTTGGGGTACTCGAATACCAGCAGGGCTTACAGAATATTTAACAAACGGACCCTCAAAGTTGAGGAGTCCATTAATGTTGTTTTTGATGAAGCTACTGTTGAGATTACAGAGTTACCAGATGATGACGATTTTGGTTTGGGAAGAATGTCTTCTATTGTACCAAATTCAGCTGCTGATGATCATTCACATGAGGAAGAGGTACCTGAGCAGTCAACAGTGGATCATCAGAATCAGGTGTCTCAGTCAGGTGAGGAAGAAAGAACAGAAGAAGGTCAGTCCTTACCTGCTGATCCTCAACCCCCTGCACATATAGCTAAGAGACATCCACCTGAACAAATAATCGGACCAATCAACAGAGGTATGTATACACGTTC